TTGCTGTTAGGTGTGTCAATTTTTTTCATGTAATCATTTCTAAAGTTAACAAAAATTGTGCTTTTTGGTACAGGTTACAACATTGTCGGCGATGGTACTCCTCAAGCGTTCATTCCTATCTTAACTGGTTCGACGGAGGAAGAGCTGCCACTGACAAGGTATTCTTTGTCGTGATTACTAAGTGTTGCAGGTGTAATGAAAAACCGCTCAAAATTTTCGAGACTTTTTTAGTGATTTAGAAAAGGTCAAAATTCTTTGATTATTTGACTGTTAATTGATAATAGTTTCAGTTACGTATGAATCACTTCTTATATTGTTTCTGTGCTAACTCTATGTTTATTTGATTTCTAAACTTACTAAGACCTGTCTCATATTTAGAAGAAGGTTTAAAAACGCTCATTATGTCGATGAAGTATATCCATTTGTTTGGAATAACTTTTCTGATGCAGGTTATATTACTTTATATGGAGAAGATTCGGCACGCGTTGGGACGTTCACTTACCGTCTGAAGGTTTTGATTTCACAGCACTTTTGAGCATTTGAAACAAAAAAGGACAAGCAAAGAGCTTGAGGAGGAGTTCTTCAAAACAACCAACTTTTATTAAGATATTTTGAATTCTCTGTGGTTTCTTTTCTGGTTTTTGATTTGAGATCAGGAAGTTCTCAAGAAGTATAATAAAAAATAAGTTTTGTATTGACCTTTCAAACATTTAGAAGCATTATTTTTTTTAATCTTTCAAGCCAGCATTTCCTTTTTTTTTCTTTTGTTATTAGTATTTATAGCATATGATAGGTGCAAAATAAAAACTTATTTTTTACAACATTATTACATTAAAAATTGTGCGAAGTCAAGAGGTCTGACTGGTTTACTCACAGCATTTACTTTAAGGGCTTTAAAAACCAACCCACCGACCATTACACGAGAACATTTTTTCAAAGAGCAGAAACTTTTTACAAGGATATGAAGTGTTTTGGGAACGTGCCAATGCACAAGGTACGTTGAAGTCATGCCTTGGTCTTCTTTATTTACTTTATAAATTACCTTTTCAGTTTGTCACTGTAACTTACGATTCTTGCAAATATTTAAATTGGAGTTTTCAGGAGTGGTTCCGTTATGTCAGCGATTTTATGCACTCTTATAAAGGATTAGCTCCTCGTTTCCTATTAGCTTTTCATAGTCTTCTAAGCCACGACAGTATAAACTTAGTTCAAGTAGCTGATGATGACACAGTTGCTCATTTAAAGCATTTGTATGAAACTGGTGAATTAGAAAAAAGTTTGGTTATAGTCATGGCAGATCATGGGAATCGTTTTGCGAAGTTGCGGTCTACACATCAAGGTACGTGTCAGATATTTCGCCCACAATTTTTTTTTATAATTAAAGGATTTTCTGCAGCTGTAATTATTAAGAGTGTCGTTTTTTTTTACCAACATAGAGCTTTGCCGCGTAATTCCATTTGATTTAATTTAGGGCAATTAGAAGAACGTTTACCATTCTTTGCTATATCTCTCCCAAAATCTTTCCGGGAGACCGAGTCTGGTAGTATTGCTTACAAGAACTTGTTGGCCAATAAAGAAAGGTTATCTTTTATTTCGCCTTTGAGACTCAATAGTGGTGGTCGAAAAATGTTTTATCCTGTAGTGACGTTCGTTTAATCTTTGTTAGCTTTGATTCAGCAATTTTCTAGTATATGACAATCTAAGTCAACCCAAACACGTCTTCAGCAGTGATTTTTTTAGGCAAAAATATGGGTTTAAACGAGGGGATATTTTGAGTAGTTTCAGGTTTTGTTTATCGGCTTCTTGGGCAAAAGATCTTAACTCATATAAGAGGAACATTTATTATGAAATAGTTATTCTGTATTATTTCTGTGATTATCATTTTTTGAACGCTGTTTTTAATATATAACCAGTTTAGATTAACAACACCCTTTGATATACATGCAACTTTGTTGGATATTATACACTGGCCAACTATTGAAAAGCTGAAAACACCAAACGTTGCGAAGAACAGATCGTTATCGTTATTTAGAGAGGTTCCAGAGAATAGGACTTGTGCTGAGGTTTGTTTACAGTAAATTGAGAATTTATGCAAGAATTGTTTGGTGGAGCAGACTTTACGCACTTGATACAACTACGAGGAAGTGTAGACTTATCAATTTCTTCGCTACTTATAGCTCGTTTCGTCTAACCTCTAATAATTGCATAGGCCGGAATTGAGCCACATTGGTGCACGTGCCTTAACTGGGAATCAGCAATGAACAACGAGGAACAAAAGGAAATTTCAAAAATGCTAGCATTGACGACTGTAAAAACAATTAATGATTTTACGGAAAAGGAGCGTAAATCATGTGCTCCACTAAAACTGGTTCGTTTATTGATTCAGTAAGCGCAGAAATCAATTTCATTTTTTTTTTGACTTTTGCTGGGAATGGTAATTGTCAGGTGCTCTATACATCCGTAAACATAGGGAATAGGGTAGCAATTCAGTTTTCCACTTTGCTGAAAAGTCCGCACAACTGAAATTGTATATATTCTATGTAGCTTGTTTTTTTTGTAGAACTATTTAGTATTTTTTAACAGTTTGAAAGCCTTCATTACTACCTAACTGTAATTATAACTTCCAGTGGCATAGTTGAAAACTTTAATTATATCACTGGATTACGCTCTAATCAGTTAAAGTACTGCTTCTAAACACAGGAAGTGAAACTCTTTGAGCGGTTTTTGCAGAGTTAATGTAGTAAATCTGAGGACTTGGTGGCCGTACGATCAACTCCTTTTAAATGAGAAAAATTGCTTAAGTAGACCTTTTTTTAGGAGTGCAATGGACAGCATAATCACTGTTTACACTGTTTCTAAAAGACCTAAGTGGTAAAATCGTGGATGGGATGCCATGTTTCAGTAGAAGGCAATAATGAAACATTAATTTAAGGGAGACGTAGAAAGCGTTGAAAAACATTGGTTTAGAGTGTAGGCACATCGACTTGTATAGATGTCTAAATGTTCTAAGAACTTCTTAAATTGCAATCTCAAACCGTCGTTCCTTGGTATTACGAGAGATCGGTTAAAATTTAGAAAATTTTCTGCCTTATTACAGAACGCTTTGGAGGATTCGCATCGACTTGTACCGAACGAAATTTTGCTTAAGTACAAGAATGTGAAAGATGTTGACGGTTTTGTTCCCGATCTCTCCGGCAAAACGAAGGCAGTTTTTGCTCACTATCAGATAAAGTTTAGCACAGTGCCAGGAAACGCTCTATATGAGGTAAATTTAAAAATAACAAAAAAAACTTAATAAAACTGAGTCAAACACCTAATTAATGTCAAGTTTAAAACAATCAAAAATCAGAAATAACTTTTCACATTCATACTGGTAAAGTTTGAAGCTCATGACTAGGTTTCATTCATTTTGATTTTCCTTGTTTCTTGGTGTGTGTTACGGTGTTAACGTACTCTAAGATAATATTTAGAAGTGACAATACAAGTTGTATAAAGTAGGCGTTATAATCACTTAACTGACCAAACGTCCTGGTTCTGTAATTTATTGAGTTTCTTTCTAGGCAACCGTCGGATACAATTCTGCGACGGATACTGTTACTGTTGACTTGACGGCAATAAGTCATGTAAATAAATACGGTGACCTTCCACATTGCGTTATCGACAGAAATTACTTTTTAGCTGCATATTGCGTTTGTTATGACAAAATCTAACTTTATGAAGGCTTTTTTGTAGCTTTTTTCTTTTTCCTTTTTTTTTTTTTTAATGATGGGCTGCTTTTTGAAAACATTAGTCTTTCGCTGTAATGTTATAGAATTTGTTTACTGTAAATTACATACGGAGTCCTAAAACTCTTCGTTATTTATCCTTTAAATACTAACGACTTATTGTTGGAGAAGAATTCCTTCTTGTTTTGCAGCGTTTAAGCAAGATTTTTGTAACGCTTGTAACTAGCAACTTGTAGTATTAAACTAACGTGAGAACGAACGTTTTTCACTATTTTCAATTAGGAGTTGGTTGAGTACATGATTCATTTGGTCAGTTTTTCATTCTGCGTTATTTTCTCAACTACCTTATGGTTATTTGCTGCTCATATTTGTAGTTGAATTGTTGTTGTATATTCGTTTTCCTCAGCCTTCTTGAGATGTCTGATTTTACCAAATTATGGTCTTTCAACCTGAGAGTGATCCGGCACTCATGTAATTCGTTTATTAGCTCATCAAACCAGAATTAATATACTGGTTTTCTGCTTTCAACATATCACTATTAAATCTGCTTTTCATTTAATCATTCTCTTGTTTCCTGGGTTACGCAAATAATGGTTAGTTTGATCTCTGCTTGTGCTTAACGGGGTTGTTGAAATATTATTTTTTTTTTGCTTTACCTTCTTAGAAACCCCTATTTTCTTCCCTGTGTATTTTTTTTTTTTTTTTTTTTTTTTTTTTTTTTTT